ATCAAGTTCACACATAACAATATTAACCTTAAATGTAAATGGACTAAATGGTCCAATTAAAAGACTCAGACTGGCAAATTGGATAAAGAGTCAAGACCCATCAGTTTGCTGTATTCAGGAGACCCATCTCACATGCAGAGACACACATAGGCTCAAAATAAAGGGATGGAGGAAGGTCTACCAAGCAAATGGAGAGCAAAAAAAAGCAGGAGTTGCAATCCTAGTCTCTGATAAAACAGACTTTAAACCATCGAAGATCAAAAGAGACAAAAAAGGCCATTACATAATGGTAAAGGGATCAATTCAACAGGAAGAGCTAACTATCCTAAATATATATGCACCCAATACAGGAGCACCCAGATTCATAAAGCAAGTCCTTAGAGACTTACAAAGAGACTTAGACTCCCATACAGTGATAATGGGAGACTTCAACTCCCCACTGTCAACATTAGACAGATCAACGAGATAGATAGTTAACAAGGATATCCAGGAATTGAACTCAGCTCTGCACCAAGCGGACCTAATAGACATCTACAGAACTCTCCACCCCAAATCAACAGAATATACATTCTTCTCAGCACCACATCGCTCTTAGGGTCATTGTGAGGATTCCATGAGTTAATCCAGTCGAAGGCTTTAGAATAGTGCCTGACATACAATAAGTGCTCAAGAAATGGAGGTAATTATTATTGCTATGATTCATTTCCATAATAATTTGCAATTTTTTCTTCTTTTCTGCTGATTGACTTTGTCCAACTCCCATCATAATTATGCAAACTCTTTGGGTCATTTTTATGGAAATAGACTGGAAATGGAGTGGTTAAGTTATAGGCTTTCTAGTCAAATAGAGTCAAGTTGAAGTTCCCAAGGCAGTATTTAAGAGCCATATCTTCTTGACTTACTTTCTCCAAGCCTCAGTTTCTTAATCTACAAAATAAGAAGGATGAAAAATCATTCTACTGTAAAAACATATGCACACGTATGTTTATTGCAGCACTATTCACAATAGCAAAGACTTGGAACCAACTCAAATGCCCATAATGATAACCTGGATAAAGAAAATTTGGCACATATACACCATGGAATACTATGCAGCCATAAAAGGATGAGTTCATGTCCTTTGCAGGGACATAGATGAAGCTGGAAACCATCATTCTCAGCAAACTAACACAAGAACAGTAAACCAAACACCGCATGTTCTCACTCATAAGTGGGAGGTGAACAATGAGAACACATGGACACAGAGAGGGGAACATCACACACCGGGGCCTGTTGGCGGGTGGGGGGTGGGGAGGGATAGCATTAGGAGAAACACCTAATGTAGATAACAGGTTGATGGGTGCAGCAAACCACCTGGCACGTGTATACCTATGTAACAAACCTGCACATTCTGCACATGTATCCCAGAACTTAAAGTATAATAAAATAATTTTTAAAAAGGATGATAATAATAGTTGCCTCTTAACACTTTAAGAGTATTAAATGGGACAATACTTGCACAATATCTGACAAGCATATAAAGATTTTAAAAAATATTATGTATTGGTATTATTTTTGCTGCCCCAAATATACAAAACAGTGCTTGTATTCTCAAAAGTGCTTCTAGAAGCTTGTCAAGTTTCCAGGGCTCTAATGTCATGTCAATATTCCACCAGAAAAGAGGAAAAAATCCACAGAAATAGAAAGGTGCTGGATGCTGTGACTTTACTAGGACCCTTTGCCAAATAATGAAGTGAAATTGAGAGGATTGAGTCTTGCTCAACATAGATTTAATTCAAGTTAGAAAACTCAAATTTCTTTTTAAAAATTGAAATCGTATATTTTTAAGATGCGCAGTGTGAGGTTTTGATATACATATACATAGTGAGTTGATTTTAAAATCAAGATAATTAATATATGCATTTCTTCACATAGTTACCTTTTTTGTGGGTAGTGAGAACACTTAAGATCTACTCTCTTAGCAAATTTCAAGTATACAATACAGTATTATAAACTAGAGTCCCCATGTTATACATTAGGTCTCTAGAACTTTTTCATCCTGCATAACTGAAACTTTGTATCTTTTGACCAACATCTCTCCATTTCCCTTACCCCTTTGTCCCCAAGAACTGCTACTCTACTCTGCCTCTATCAATTCAACTCTTTTAGATTCCCCATGTAAGTGAGATCATCTAATATTTTTCCTTCTGTGCTTGACTTATTTCATTTAACATAATGTTCTCCAAGTTCATCTATGTTGTCACAAATGACAGGATTTCCTTCCTCTTAAAGGCTAAATAGTATTCCAATATATACATACATATATACGCATGTATGTATACATACATATGCATATATAAAAATATGTATATATGTGCATATATATGTATGTGTATATATGTGTAAATATCACACAATTTATTTAACTGTAAATAGGCAATTAGGTTTTTTCTGTATCCTGGTTATTGTGAATAATGCTGTCATGAACATGGGAGTGTAGGTATCTCTTTGAGATGCTGATTTTATTTTCTTGGATATATACCAGTAGGGGAATTGCTGGATTATATTGAAGGTTTATTTTTAATTCTTTGAAGAACCTCCATTTTGGAAAACTCAAATTTCTGAGCAGACTGATCCTGGACTCAACGTGGGGAATACTTTGAAAGGTTAGGAACTAAAGCCCTATTCTTCTGTCCTAAACCAAAAAGTTAAGTGTAGGGTGAGGTAGCTTGTAGGGAAGAAATAGTTACTTGTGCTGGTTGCTTCTTATGGGGGATGTGGCATTTGCATATGGTAAAATACTCAAATCTCACATTTAAAAAATGTGTATTTCTTTCCCCAAACTAAAAATGGATAGGAGTTACATCTGTAAATGAAAAAAAAACTGTCTAAATATTATAATTGTGTTGTTAAAGAGTTGAAAATGATTTCAATCACATTTGCCATTCTCATCCAGCAGTAACGAGTGGTCCCTATTAATAATTGAATAAAGAGAAAATAACTCAACACTGGAAACTTTTACCCCAAAGCCAGCATGAAACCTGAAAAACTGAAGAACTTGGATCATGGAAGCATAAAAAACATCAACAGTCTTGCAAATATCTTATTTGCCATGTAGATTTGTTTTGACATCTCCCTTCCAATGCCTATCACTCCTAACAGTCAGAATCAGATGGTATTTGAGTTGCAGGAAAAAGTACTAAAGTAACTTCCTCCCACAAGATGACAGCCCCATCTTTTTCTCTCGACCTCATGCTTAGAAATTACTCAGAGTAGAGAGTAGGACGCCATGGTTAATTATTATTAGCAGTAAAATAAAAGAGAAAAGCAAGCAAGATCAAATAAGAGATGAAAGGGAAAGTGCATGTCAAAAGAAAAAGGAAGAGAAGTTGGAAAGAACAGGAGGAAGCTGTATTATTAAAGTGGGGAAAATAAATTACATGGCAGCAAAAAAGAAACAAAAAGAAAACTTCAGAGTCCAATGCAGAAATGGCTAGCTGACCAATGAAGATTTATCCTCCTCTCTTTCCACAGTGTAGAGTTCCTTCTAGGAAGCAATTGCTCAGCCAGAGAGACAATCTCTCTCTCTCAGTCTCTCTCTCTCTCTCTCTCTCTCTCCCCCTCTCTCCTTTCCCTCTCTTCATCTTCTGGCTGGATAATGCCAGGATAACCCTGATGACAGAAGACGTAGAGCCATAACATGAAAGAAATCTGGATCCCTGAATCCCTTTTCAGAGGAATATCCAGATTAGACTTTTTGTGAGTAAGAAATAAACTTTTAGATGTTAAGCCATTGAGCTTTTGGGGATTGTTTGTTATGGCAGTGAGCATTACTTTCCCTGCCTAATACAGAAGTTGATATCAAAAGGGAGCTCTAGAAGTAGATGCTTGTCCTTTTTATCTTTGCTCAAAAACCAGTTAATTATTTCCTGGTAGCCTCTTATTGTTTTATTGTGTTCCCAAAAGCAGTCAATAGCAACCAACACATGTTATTTTTCACCTACAAGCTCAAGAGTCATGTGGTCTTTCAGGTTACCAAACGCAACAATGTTGCCAAGTGTTTTTCCACTCCATGTAATGGATCTCCAGCCTTCCAGCCTATTACATCTGTTTCTAGAAACACTACTAGACTATGAAGTCTATGCCACATATTTTAGAATTT